GTGAATGAGATGAGGCAGGGCTGTCCCTGGAAGATTTCTGATGAGGAGGTCGATAAAAACAGAGCCAAGGTAAAACTCGTGCCAGGGGGGCTCCTGCAAAGGGTCTCCCGCTTGCGAGACAAAATTCACTCTTTTTGGAAACAATTATTTTGCGTTTGTCAACGCTCTTTGCTCTGCAGTCGCTCCGACAAGTGAGGCTGAACGAGATTTTGCTGGATTACTCGCGGGACGCGGCGCTCATAGCCATGTAGGTGCCAGCAACACCCTCACCCCCGTTTCTCACCCCATAGAATGGTCCCTCTGGATGATCCCCGCCACCACAGGGAGATCCCAGACGGACACCCCAATGCCATGGCACGACCATGCCGCACCGCAGGGAAAATCCCTTTGAGGGCACCAAGGGGTCCAGACGGGGTCCCACTGTGGGGGAGGACGTGGCGTTGCCCCTTTTTAGGGAAATAACCTGCAAATTAGTACGGGATTGAGAGAGGGGCTAAGGACAGGGCTTGGCTCAGCGGGGTGGACGGCGGGGGCTGCGCTGGTTGTGCCTCACTCGGCCCCCCGATGCGGCCGCAGCACGCTGCCCGTCGGCAGGAAGGGTCGCTGCCCCAGCTCCCTCTACATGGCCTGGCTCGAGACCCTCTCGCAGGACCTGAGACCCCCCGTCATCCTCACCCGCGGAAATCAAGAGAACGTGCTGACCTTTTACTGCCAATAAAACCTCCTGGATCCCTGCTGACTCGGGATGTGAATTTTTCAGGCTGGTTTTGATCTCAAGAGCACACTCGCCCGGGGCCCTGGGGGAGCAGTCGAAGGCGTCTGGCCACCAGCTCTCAGGAAATGCCCACTGTGCAGAGCTGCTGCCCTCTTACAAAGGCTTGTTTTGGTGACCTCAGTCTTTGTAGGTTGTATATAGGTATGACGTAACACAGTGCAGGCATTGCTCCGGCCCTGGATTTAGCTGGAGCCCTGCAGGCAAGGTGTGGGGTCCCATCTTGAGAGCAAAAAGGGGACAGTGGGACCCCCATGTCTGCTCCCTCAGGACAGCCCGAGCCGCGCACAGGGACAGGGACTGAGCCATGGCCCCAGCAAAGCCACCGTCCCGGGTTAAGCACCTCACCAGGGGCTGCGGGGACCCTGTGTGTCCACTCGGAGACGGGGACTGCCGGCCCTGGAATGGGCGGAGCCCATCCCCAACAGCTGAGCAGCAGCAAGACATCACCTCGGGCTGCGGTGCCTGGCTGCATCCATCCCCTGATGGAGAGAGACAAGAATTAACCACCAGAACCGGGACACTTCCCGGCTCAGACTGCCCGGAGCGGGAGAAACCTGCCCTTGTGTGAGACAGGAGCACGGCTCCTTTCCAAAAGCACAACCCAGGTCCCCTTGCCGCAACACAAAACTCCGTTCACTTTGATCATTACAGAATTTACTGATAATCACCACCAGGATTAGAAGCATCAGTAGAAAAATAAAATTTACAGAGTTTTCTATCATACAAAGATTTGTTCATGACAGCCACAGTCGTTAGCGAGATAGGAAGTCGGGCGGTATCTAAATCAGGCCGAGCACAGAGGATGTTCGCACACAGAAAGCAGGGCCACGAGTCTCAGCTCGAGCAGTGATGTTTCTCCAGGGAAGGCGGTTTCTCTCCAAGGCCTTTCCTTGACCGATGCTCCTGGCTGGGCTCCCTGGTCAGCGGTTCACAGCACTGCCCAACCCGGAACACCTCGGCACCGACATTTTTGCAAGCTCCTTGCTGCTTTTGGCAAGTTTGACCGAATGAAGTCTACCAACGTGAAAAACGAAGGAATTCCTCCGCTCGCCTCACTTGGGATAGGGAACACAAAGGGAACATCAAACCGATGTGATGAGAGGGGAGGAGCCTGCTGGCAGCAACCACTCTGGTACATTGACTCAAGACTACTCCTCCTTCCCGTTTGGATCTGGTTTTACTGGAGAGGGAGGTTGGGGAGGCAGGCAGGGGAGCGGAGGATGCTCTGCGAGTACTGAGGCAACACAAAGAACTGTCCCCCAGCGCCAATACCTGTCACGACAAGTCAGCAGCTGATTGTTCAGCTTTTATGCAAGAATTTCCTGAAAATTCCATGATGCCTGGGCAGAGAGAGGCACCAATCAACTTCCAAGCTGTGGCCAAGCTGTCACCTCTTCAAGTGAAGCAGCTTCGCCCTGCGCCGCCTCAACGCAGACTTTGGGAGATCACAACGGGGAGAAAACAGGAGGTTTTTGGTTCACCCAGCACAGAGTGATTTTATTGAGCAATTTTTTTTTCATTTGTTCTAAGCTCCTAACAGCCCGGATTTGCGTCCTGCATGCCTCAGCTCCCTGAGTGCAGAGGAACCATCCTCGTGCCGCAGCTGGTGGCACACTGATAAAGTGCTTTCCCAGTTGCAATCAGCTCAGTCCTTGCTACTGAGGGATGCCGGGCACCAGGGCAGGGGGAAAGGGGAGCACAGCCGGCGCCTAGGACACTGGTTTCTAGCATCACCTGAAAGGTAAGGCCAGACCTGCCCAGTCTAAGTCCCATCAAATACTTTTAATCCATCCAGGAAAAGGCAGGATAATTCATGTGAATTAAACCAGGCACTCTGGACACGAGCTGTGTACACAGCCACTTGAAAGAAGATGTGGGAAGGGGGGAAGACAGCTAGAGAGATCATTATTCCTGCTTTTTGACTGAGGGCAGAAGCAAAGAGAAGGAGAGGCCTAACCTTCCCCTGGGGGATGCAGCAGTAGGAAGACCAGCTCTCTACAAGCAGCACAGCACACAGGGCACTCCAAAGATCCAGGGTTTAGTACACGTTACACCACCTGGACCTCAACCACATACGGAGAAGGAGTCACATTGAAGTCTTTCCTAAAATGCACAGCTTTATTCCCTGAATTAACATGGGCTAAAATTTAGAGTAATCTCAGTAAGTAGTTCCTGAAAAACACCTCTCTCCATCAGCTGTCAACAGACCACTTGGGAGAAGTTACTACATAAAGAGAAATTTTTTTTCATGATAAACACAGGGCCCTGTTGAGGGTTGTTTCCACACAGAGGACATGGGGTTCATGGAAGGTAACTGGCCTTACGAAATGTTGCAGGTACAAAAGGCGAGCTGGTTTGGAAACCAAAGGAGTTCAGCAAAACCACAGACAGGATGTGTGTCCTGGGAGGCTGGGCATGGACGGCGCTTTCCCTTGGCAGCCCACACGAATGTCAGCAAGGACCACCGCCCAGCCAAATCCTTGGGATTCAACCTCAGCTTCCCCAAGGTCCCGAAAAACCAGTCCCCCAGAAAGCGCCCAGCTAGCTACCCGAGAGCCCCAGCCGCCTGGCATGCCTCCGGGCCAGAGAGCAGATCTTAGAGCTAGTTAAAACTCACTTAGAACAAACTAAACCGATTCATTAGAGGAGACCATACTGCCTGCCAGTAAGGGTTGGTTCGGGGCTATGTTCACACTGCTCATTGACAAACACGGGAATTGCCCAGGCTCTTCCTGGGACGCTCGCAGGCATCCCACCCACCGGCACGCTGCAGCTGGATGCTGAAAGCATGGCGTGTTCCCCGCCTCCACACCCAGGAAGCCCCAAGTCATGACAATCCTGCGCCGGCCGTGCCGTTGTCACTGCAGCAGCAGCAGCCTGCTGAATTTTATATAAGCTGGCCAGTGACATTTACATGTCAGTGAAGACACCCAATTCCGCCACACCAATGTAAACATGATCGGCAAGTAAAAAGGGAACAGAGAAGTTTAAAAATACCAGCTTCCACCACAGCCTGAGAAGCAATAGTGCACACTCGCGCATGCGCCCTGGGATTTCTAGCGCGGGCGGTGGGGCATAGCGCCCGTTCAGCTGTGCTTCATCTCTCGGGCAGAAGGTACACAGTGCCTGAAGTGCTTCACCATAATAAAATTCACAAAAATAGCGATCCTTTTAATGTCAGCTATTTCCCCTGCCGCAGCTTTCACAGTCACAGCTCTTGGCCGCAAATTTGCACTGTCATCTGTCTAAAATGATCTTTCCTTTTGCTGCTCCCAAATTTACTATGACCAAGACCTGGTATTAGAAGGTTAGGGCCAGGAAAAAAAGAAATTAAGTTTCTCATTAAAAAAATTCACATTAAAACAGCCTCAGGTTCACTGCAAACAAAGCAGCAAGAGGTCAAAGCATTAAGTGAGCTCCGAAGACATCACATCACGCTGTAGTACTGTTTCTACCCCAGAATAGCTGGTGTCACATCTTAGTTACATCCTGCTGCTTCAAATCATCACTGGTAAAAGGTACGTGGGCCTCCTCCTCTGGAAGCTATTTTCCTATCCTCCGGAGAAATAAAGTTTCACTTGGCACTTAATGTTACCAAAAAGTAACAAATTCACAATTTTTAGCTTCATTTCAAGCCATGCTGGAGGCAGGAGTAGGCCTTCACGCATCCTTTAACCAGTGGAGAAAGCACATGCCTCAAGTTGCGCTCCCTCGTGATTTGTTTGAGAGACAGCACAGGTGGCAGATCCTTTGCTCTTCCTTCGATTTGTGATCTCTAGCATCTGAAGAAGAGCTAGAGAGTGGCTAAAATCCGTAGAAACGAAACCACCACCACGCAGAATGTCTGGCCCACTCCTAAAATGAGGGCTTCAAAGGGAATCATTTTTTTCCCTGCAGCTCTGTAAACTCCAGCAATGGCAGCACCTGCGGAGAGGGGAAAAACCTGAAATATGAATGCATGACAGCACACACGATGCATACGCTGTTTTACCATGGGGACAAAGGAGGAAGTCTCAGAGGATGTGAGACTGGGGCAGAGAACAGGGAGGGTCTGTGGGAGAGGGCCCTGAACCCCTGCACACTGGCTGGCAGAAATGCCAGACTGGGTTTTGCCACGACAAACCTCAGCCAGTAACCAACATGTGCTGGTGGCAACGGGTAAATTGTCGGGGAAACTCTGCTGAGGCCTCCAGAAGGTGTGGCGGTTGGGGCAGTTTTGAACACAGACTTGTCGCAAGATCCTCTACACCACAGCCCACGGGCTGCAAATATTACCCAGTTCTGGGCACGGACACCAAATCTGTAAGTGGTTTTTCTCCGAGTGCTCAGAAACCTGAAAGCCACCTGGCTCTGCACCTGATGGGCATGTTTGGTACCCGACAAAGGGCTTGATAGGTAGGATGGTCCAACACTTCCAAACATGGTGTGAGGGGGGAATATAACCGAAAGATTAATCTCCTCTCTACCCCGGGGAATGCCGCGGTTCGGCACGCTTCCGAAGGCAACCCCTGATCGCTAGAAAGCCACCCGGTCGGTATTTTCGAGCATCTACCGTACTTGTTAGGATGCCGGCAGTAATGGGTCCCACGATG